CGGGAAAACCTCGGGGTCCACGGGGTCATGAAGGGCGCCAGGACCAGCAACTTATTGGCCAGCTCCTGGAACTGACAGGACATGCAGCCAATGAGAACGCGGCACCGGAAAGGAGCCAGGTAACGTGCTTAAAGAGTAGCCTTCGCGAAAAGAACGAGGTTGGGGCAGAAATCCGGACTCTCAGAGCGCAGGAAGTCAGGGAAGTGGCGACTGCAAATCAGTGGAATCAGAACTCACCCACCGCGAAAGCGCCCATAACTGCACCCCCTATAATGGGCCTTTGGGCTGGACAGCCAGTTCGTCTTCCTCTCGATGACGGATTGAGAGCAACAGAGCCAAGCCAGAGCGTCCCCTAGAAAGCAACAACTTCCGGAACGCGGTATTATGGGAAGTGACTGGGCCTCAGAGTCCGTGTTGCTGGCTGATCTGCGCCTGCGCATGGGCCAAGCCGGAAGCTTGGGAGCTGCAGCGAGGTGTTCTGGGCTGTCAATGAGTTTTCTCTGCTGGGTGTTAACTACGGAGTTACATAATTTCTTTTGCAGCAACTTGGATGGAATTGGAGAACATAATCCTAAGTGAGCTAACACAGGAACAGAAAACTAAACACTGCATGTTCTCACTTATAAGGATCTACAAAGGCAAAGAGATGGTATAATAAACGGAGACTAAGAAGGGGACAGGTGGGAAGCAGTGGAGGGAAGAAAAATAACCTATCTGGTAGTGTGCACTGGTGGGGCTGGAGAGTACATTTAAAGCCCAGACTTCTTTGCCGTTTTACAATGCAACAACCGTGTAACCAAAAGCTATGTGTACCCACTTAAACCTATTGAAATTTAAAAGAAAGAAATGCTTGTAAAATAGGGTACCTGGTGGTGGTCTTGCCTAGGCGTCTCCAGAGTGGTAACCCTTTTTAAATATGTTACACCTGAAGTTTAGTTAAGAGCGGAACATTTATACTTCTGTCAGTACTCCCAATTATTTTGTTTGTTTGTTTGTTTGGGGTTTTTTGAGTTGGAGTCTCACTCCGTCGCCCAGGCTGGAGTACAGTGGCATGCTCACGGCCACCTCAGCGTCGATCAGCTGGGCTCCGGCGATCCTTACGCCTCAACCTTCCAAGTAGCCGTAACTACAGGCGTGCGCTACCACACTCGGCTAATTTTTTATTTACTGTAGAGACAAGGTCTCACCAAGTTGCCCAGGCTGGTCTTGAACCCCTGAGCTCAGGCAGTCTCCTCGCCTCAGTCTCCCAAAGTGCTAGGGTTACAGATTTGAACTACCATGCCCACCCCACAAATTAAGTTTTTTTGAGGTAGAAATTAAATGAATATCTTAAATATACATTTGAGTTTTGGCAAATGCATACACCTGTGTAACTGAAACCCTATTAAGATACAGAACACTATCATCACCCCAGAAAATCCTTCATGCTCCTTCCTAGTCAGTTCTCACCAACTCTCCCAGGAAACAACCACTGTTCTGATTTTTTCCCACAATTAGTTTTGCTTGTTCTAGAACTTCATATGGTTGGAGTCATGCAGTAGATAGTTTGTGTAAGGCTTCTTTCACTCAGTGTAATATCTTTTTTTTTTTTTTAAGTTGGGGTCTCACTCTGTTGCCCAGGCTGGAGTGCAGTGGCATGCTCATGGCCACTGAAGCCTCCACCTGCTGGGCTCAGGTGATCCTTCCACCTCATCCTTCCAAGTAACTGGAGCCACAGGCATGTGACATCACGCCTGGCTAATTTTTTGATTTGTTGTAGAGACGAGGTCTCGCCATGTTGCTCAGGCTGTTCTTGAACCCCTGAGCTCAGGCAATCCCCTTGCCTCTGCCTCCCAAAGTGCTGGGATAACAGGCTTGAGCCACCGTGCCCGTTGTAATATCATAAAGACTCACCTATGTTGTTGTATCAATTTCTTTTGATTGCTTTGTAAGATTGTATGAATATTCCAGTTTTTCCATTCTTGGTTTGATGAAAACCTGTGCAGCTTCCAGTTTTTGGTTTTTTTGTTTGTTTTTGGCTCTTAGGAATAAAGCTGCTATGAACATTCTTGTATAGCATTTCATTTCTAATGACTATGTATAAATATAAATATATATATTTATTTATTTGTAGAGATGAAGTCTTGCTATGTTGCCCAGGCTAGTCTTAAACTCCTTGGCTCAAGCAATCCTCCTGCCTCGGCTTCCCACAGTGCTGGGATTACAGGCGTGAGCCACTGTGCCCAGCACCCTTCAGTAAATATTTACCAAGCACTTAGTGTATTTCAGGCACTTCTAGGTACTAGAGTCATAGCTGTGAAGGAGGCAAAGAAGACCCATTTCTCAAAGAGCTTATATTTGCACATTTCTGTTTATGTAATGAAGAGGGATAAATATATAGGTAATAATGAAAGAAAAACACCAGATACTCAATTGCAGGGCAGAGAAATAAGATAATGTGAGTGATTAGATGACTATGTTGCCTAGGTTGCTCTGCAATCACCTTTGTGAGGAAGTGATTTTTAAGGTGTGAACAAAGTGACAGAGACTCCAACTCAAAAAAAACACAGGCTCCCTCTGCCGGGGGCGGTGACTCCCGTCTATAATCAAGGAAGATCAAGGGAAAAAGCATCCAGGCAGAGAAAGCAGGTAGTTTAATGGCCCAGGAGAGCCAGTCTTCTCCCAAATTTAACCAAACATTACTATGGCCAGTTTGACAAGTTAGTATGCTGCGGTCCTAATCAACTTTTTTCTGATTACTAATAGGAAAGGACAGTTCTTCATTTATTTTATGATCAATTGTTCTTTGATGGTGAATTATCCATTTACATCCCTTTCCTATTTTTCTGTTGACAGCTGCATCTTTCTTTCCTCCTTTGATAGTGACTACTGTGCTTTCTCTAGTAAATGAAAACTCCAGGGCAGAGAGACCTATGTTTAATTCATTTGAGAGAGGGCTCAGCATAAATGTGCTCTTACATATTTTCAACAAATAAATAGTGAATATTTGAAAATTTTAATCCTGCAACTGCTCTTTAATACTCTATTTTAGTTCTTTAAAATTCACTCTCGTTGCTTTACCTTTTTATTCTGACATGTGCAGCAAGGTTAATTCAAGACAATTTATTGATTCAGTTTTAGAAGTGGATAGGATAGAATTGGGATTACTGGCTGGGCTCAGTGGCTCAGCCTGTAATCCCAGCACTTTGGGAGGCCGAGGCAAGTGGATTGCTTGAGCTCACAGGTCCAAGACCAGCCCAGGCAACTTGGCGAGACCTCGTCTCTACAGTAAATTAAAAAAATAAGCTGTGTGTGGTAGTGTGCACCTATAGTTCCACCTACTTGGAAGGTTGAGGCAGAAGAATTGCCTGAGCCCAGCAGATTGAAGCTGCGGTGGCCGTGAGTGTGCCACTGCTCTCCAGCCTGAGCAACAGAGTGAGTTTCTAGGTCAGCATCTCTTAACCTCAACACTATCAACATTTTGGTCCAGCAAATTATTTGTTGTAAGGCAATATCCTGTGCATTGGAGGAAGCACCTCTGAGCTCTGCCTACTTGATGCCAGTATCATCCTTCCAATTGTGACAATCCAAAATATCTTCAAACATTGCTAAACAGAAAGAATTTCCTTTTTTCTACTTCTCTTAAGAATGGGCTCCCCAGGCGTGGTAGCCCGCGCCTGTAGTTCCAGCTACTTAGAAGGCTGAGGCGGAAGGATCGCCGGAGCCCAGCAGGTCGAGGCTGTGGTGGCCGGGAGCCGCCACTGCACTCCAGTCTGGGTGACAGAGAGATTCCAACTCAAAAAAAAAAAAAAACACGGGCTCCCTCCGCCGGACGCAGTGACTCCCGTGTATAATCCCAGCACTTTGGGAGGCCAAAGCGAGAGGATTGCCTGAGCTCAGGAGTTTGAGCCCAGCCTGAGCAACATGGCGAGACCACGTCCGTACAGTAAATTAAAAAATTAGCCTGGTGTGATGGTGTGAGCCTGTAGTAGCAGCTACCTGGCAGGCTGAAGCGGAAGGATCGCCTGAGTCCAGCAGGTCGAGGCTGTAGTGGCCATGAGCGTGCCACTGCAGTCCAGCCTGGGCGACAGAAAAAAAAAAAAAAGAACGGTTTCACTGCACTTCACTGTAAATTTTTCTCAGCATTTCTTTATGCTTGAAATTTTTCAAAATAAAAATTGGAGAATAAGGAATTACATCATGACACTGAAAAATGTTCATGAAACACCAAATAAAAGATGTAACTATGACCACAGATACACTATCATCTTATTCTTGTAAAAAGAAAAAAAAAAAAGGAAGCTAGCAATGACAATAGCTAATATCAATGAATGTCAGTGTTTACAAAACTTATTTATGGCATTTCTAAAATGAACATGTCATATTATATACATTATATTTCTGATTATTCTCTGTTGTAATTTCCTTCAAACTGTCCCTTTATGAACAAGAGATAAATCTGTGCATTTACATGGGGCAAGCACCCCTCAGACTGCCAAGGCCACCATCCAGCCACTCTCACATCTTCCTAATGCCCTCTTACTCTAGCGTTCAAGGACAAGCAGGACCACTCATGTATGGAACGATATCAGAAACGCAAAATTTGGGACCTGCCCCTACCTGCCAAATCCCGATCTGCATTCCAACCAGATCCCCGATGATTCCTACCTATGTCTGAGTTAGAGGAGCATTACTTTAATGAATCAATCCTTGTCCCGGAAAGGATTGCCCTCTATACTCTGACAGTGGCGGCGGCCGGGAAATGACGACGAAGGTGGGGTAGAAAGGAGTAAAAAGGAAAACTGCGACAGAGAAGCATCTAGCTGGGCCCAAGAACCCGTTCCGCCGGTCCAAGTGAGGAAAAATCCAGCAGCCGCGGCTTCCCGGGACCCGGCGGCTCTGGCTTCCGGACCGCGGCCGCGCGCGCGCATGCGCCTGCCTGGGCGGCGCGCTCTCTCCGCCGGCTGCATCGTGGCTGTGGTTTGTGAGCTCTGGGTCGCCGTGTCCTGTGCTACTGGGAGGCTCCCCCCGATCAACATTGAGCTCTCCACGCTGCCGAGAAGTCCAGGGTCGCAGCAGCGAGGTGGCCACGGCCCGAGGTGAGTCTTCCATCCGCTGGTACTAGTGGTGAGCGCCACTGGTGGGGGGGGCTCCCACGCCGCGGCGACCCGGGCCACCTTCCCGGAATTTGCGAACGGGGTGGCACCGCCTTCCCTCCCTTTACACACCCGCCCATTGGTCACAGGCGACCTCACAGCTGGGAACCTTGCTCCTAGACCCGGTTAGTCGTTAGGTGTGACAGCGCCTGGCCGCTTTCCGAGAGCCTGGCCACTTGGGCCGCGGGGACTGTGCCCTGCTTTAAAAAAAAAATCTACCAGGAAAAGGAATCTGAAGATTCAGTCTGCGTTTTTTCGGTGAAATCTTGAATCAGAAAATTCTCATGAGGGTTTGGAGAGGTGCAGCTGAAATCTCAGCAGCGAAAATAGTTGGGTAAATAAATGACTTATGACTCCATTCCCGTTTTTGCCCGTTCAAGGTTCACTCAGTCCCGTAACGTCTTTGCTAGTTTCAGTTCATCTTCCAGGCCCTAAACTCAATACAACCTTGTCCCTATTACACTCACTCCCTGGGTGACTTTAAACAAATACATACAAGACTTTAAATTAGTGTAATCCCACCACTTTGAGAGGCCAAGATAGTAGGATCACTTGAGTCCAGGAGATCAAGATCAGCATGGGCAACATAGCGAGACCCTATCTCTATTAAAATATATGTGTTATATATATAATAATTTTTAAATATATTTATCAATTTTTAAATATATGTGTATATATATATGTGTGTGTGTGTGTGTGTATATATATATATATATATATTATATATATACACATGTATATTTGTGTG